CTTTCGAGATGTTGTTAATTTGAGATGTTGTTAACTTGGGTGTTGTTATTACATTCATGGTTGTGTCGCATACATTGCATTTTTTAGATGGAGCTTATGCTCATTGAGATGGCCTGTATTGGCGAATTTTGAGATGAAGGCTTATGCCTTGTTGATGCCTCTATTAATTGACAAATTTTTGAGATGGGAGTTCTGCTTCAATAGTACCACATGCATTTGCATAGTATTGAGTCGCATTATATGATTGCATAAAGAAGTGTATTTTGATGTTGATTAATGTGTATATACATTGTAATTATTGTTGATTATCAGATGAGAAGTGGTGATGTTATTAATCTAATTTAATATATTAATTATCATGCGCTTTATTATATTGTTAGGTATCTCACTCCTTCTGTTTGAATGTTGTCCTTATGTTGGTAACGTGCAGGTAATCGAGAGTGAAGGTTGTATACCTTCGGTAGTTCGAGTCAGTGTCATTGCTCTGATATGTAACACTCGGGGGGTTGAACGCTTGCTGTTTTGATTGTTGATTTTTCAGTTGTTGAACTTTAAGTTGATTATTATTAAATATGTGCTATTTTGAAGTTGTTGTATTGTTGTTAAAGATGTTATTAAGAATTCCGCTGCGTAGATGTTGAGTTATTTAATTAAAGATGTTATGATGATGGTTCATCCGATGTGTTGAAAGTGTTATATATCCACGATGAATGCAATGAATTTTGATAGAAGAATTTGTGACGTCCCGATTCGTTTGCATGAATGATTTTTATAACTCTGATTTATTTATATAATTGCTTGGGGTAGAATTGGGGTGTTATAGTTTGCATATCCGAGTCTCCAATAATCAGTTCGATTTGGACGACTTGAGATTTAGGATACGACTTTTGCTTGCCGTAGTTTTTGCTTAAATTTTTAAAACAAGTTTTTAGGTAAAGCTTTTCTTTGGGGATCAATTCACCCCCTCTAGATAATTTTTCATCGTCTAACCGAACCGTTCTGATCAAAGACATTTGATATATTCTTAGAATGAAGAGCAATCTGATAAGTGTGGGCCATCTCATTGAGAAAGGGTTATCAGTTACTATGAAGGACAATCTCTTGAAGTTATATGATTGCAATCAAAATTTGATTATTCTATTAAATAGGGAAGCAACAAAACATTTAAGGTGAATGTAGAGACATCTGCAAGTAAATACCTTAGTGCAGAAGGCGCTGAAGGTGATAGTGAGTTGTGGCACATGATATTGGGGCATTTGAACTTCAGAAGCTTAAGGCATCTGAGTTATAATAAGCTAGTACATGACATTTCTAAGATTGTGAAGCCTGAGAAGTCATGTGAGGTATGCATGAAAAGCAAGCAACCCAGATTGTCATTTGCGTTAGAAGTATCCCCTAGAGCAAAAAATTCTTTAGGAGTAGTGCATTGTGATGTGTATGGACCATTTGATGTACCTTCACTTGGAGGAAACACGTATTGTGGTTTGTTTATGGATGAATTCACAAGAATAACATGGTTATCACTTATTAAGTGTAATAATGAGGTGTTTATCGATTTTCAAAAGTTCAAGGTAAAGGTTGAAAAACAAAGTGGTTAGAAGCTGGAAGTTCTCAGAATTGATGGTGGAGGTGAGTATAACTCTACAAAGTTCAAGAAGTTCTGTGAGGAGAATATAATTAAGCATGAGTCTACTGCTCTATACACTTTTTCAACATAATGGTATTGCTGAAAGAGGAAATATAACTTTGCTTGATATGACAAGGAGCATGCTGAAAGAGAAGAAGTTGCCTCACACCTCGTAGGGAGAAGTTATTGTCGTTTCAGCGTATGTGCTTAACAGGTGTCCCACAAAGAAGCTTAAGGAAATTGTTTCTTTTGAGAAGTGGACTGGAGATAAGCAAAGTGTGATTCATCTTAGGGTAATTGGTTTAGTTTGTTATAAACATATTACAGATGCTAAGATAAAGATGTTGGATGATAGAAGCAAATTAATGTTGCTGATTAGGCACCACAATACATGTGCGTGTAAGCTTTATTGTTCAGTCACTAATAAAATAGAAGTTAGCAAAGACGTCATTATGAAGGAGTCAACAGAATGGGATTGAAGCAAAGAATCAGACAAATACCAAGGATATTTGTAGAGTTTGACGTGTTTCAAGATACTGAAGTAGACTCTGAGGGAGAAGTCGTTAAGTATGCCAAGTTAATAGACTTTGAACTAGTTAGTGTTGAAGAAGCTCTCAAGAGTAAAGTGTGACTGAAGGCCATGAAAGAAGAACTTGAGGCTATAGAAAGAAACAAGACTTGAGAGTTAACTAAGCTTCCAAAGGAGAATAAAGTCATCAACGTTGGATAGGTTTTCAAGATAAAGTTAAATCCAGATGAACCAATTGGAAAATACAAAACAAGGTTAGTAGCTAGAGGATTCTTACAGAAATCTGGACTAAATTACTTTGAAGTGTTTGCGCCTGTAGCTAGATATGAAACAATCAGATTGGTTATTGTTATAGCTGCAAATAGAAATTGGCCTCTGATGCATTTGGATGTGAAATCTGCATATCTGAACGGTCTATTACAAGAAGAGGTATACATGTCACAACTTCCTGGATTTGTGAAAAAATCAGGCAGGGATGTTGTACAAGTTACATAAAATGTTGTATGGACTGAAACAAGCTCCTGGAGCTTAGAATTTGAAAATTGGTTCATTTTTCAAGCTAAGGGTTCAGAAAGTTTGAGATAGAGTATTATGTTCAACATACTTCTGAAGGAAATATGATTTTGATGTGTCTCTATGTTGATGACATATTGCTAACAGAAAGTTGTCCAGAAGAGATAATCAAGTTCAAGAATATGCTAATGAATGAGTTCGAGATGACTGATATGGGAAATATGGTATATTTTTCTAGGGATGGAGATTATGTACTCTGAAAAGGGTATCGTTTTGCATCAACTGAAGTATGAACTTGAGCTTCTAAAGAGGGTTGAGCTAACAAATTGCAAGACTACAATCACACCTACTGAGATAAATCACAAGTTGAATTCTGATGTTGAGGGTGATATGTAGATTGTTATAACTTTTAAAGAGTTGGTTGACTTATTGAGGTATCTATGTAACACCAAACCTGACGTTTGTTATGCAGTTGGAATAATGAGTATGTTTATGAACAAACCGAAGTGGTCACATTACCAAGTTACTGTCAGAATATTGAGACTCTAATTGGTGTAGAGACAAATTTGATAGAACAAGTACTTTTGGATATTTTTTTCGAATATCTAGGAAGTCTCGTTTCTTGGTGCTCCAAGAAGCAACCAGTGGTTGCGTTGTCAACCTGGTTGATGAATTTGTTGCAGGATCTGAAGATCAAGGTGAGTAAATCTGTGAAGTTGATGATTGGCAATAAATCAGCTATAAGCCTTGCCAAGAACCCATTGTTGTGTGGAAGAAGAAAGCACATTGACATGAAATTCCATTTTCTGAGAAGTCAAGTTCAAAATTGAGTGTTAGAAGTTGCACACTGAAGCGTCCAGAAGTAACTTGCAGATGTTCCGACGAAAGCTGTCAATACTGAACACTTTATCCGTTTGAGGAATGAAATTGATGTTGTAAAATTTAGTTAGCTGAATATGAATTAAGGAATTGTGTTAGAAGTAATTCATATTTAGAAGTGTTTGTGTTAGTCAAAAGCATAAGCTTATGTAGTTCCGTCCCAGAAGTATATTTAGTTTATGGGGTCCTAATTTGTTTTGTTAGCTTAGCTATTGGGTATACTTATATTTATGTCTACGTAACAGTTTATTTAGTGTATTTAAACAAGTTTATAACTAAGATTTTGTAATGCAATCAAGTAAATTGTGAATATAGTAGAGTTTCTTTTTCAACAAATTTATTGAAACCGCCTTTATCTTTTCTTTTCTTTTTTCCTCTTTATTTTCAATCTTATGCACCAACAAGATCTTAAAAAACTTAAAAGGCTTTGGATCATAGAAAAAGTTTGAGATGAAAAACAGAGGAAACCACTTTCAAAAGAGAAAGATTGAATTTCTTCTATACACGTACTTGTCAAAGGCTAATCCCAAATTTATGTCGCAACGAACAAATTTGTAAATATGGCACTTTTATTGGTGATGCTATAACGGTCAAACAATTTTTTCTCTGTTTGAGCTATCTCTTGCAAGCTCTGTATGAAGAAAAAAATGTCACATCACATCAGACAAGTTGGCTTACACATTTCCTTATACATTTATTTTTCACACAGTGAAATCCTCCCCTTATAAATCACATCTTCGGTTATAGAATTTTTTTCCTCCGTCGAATAACAATCTTTTTGTAGTGATGGAAAGCCTAGCATATTTCTAATCTTAGATCCAACCAGAGTGCATATAAACATGTCATTTTAAGATGATATTCAAGAGATATCCAATTTTATATGGAAAAGTATAGCAAGTGTCTGTTACCATGAGCGTATAAATCCTTCAAAAACTACCATACATGTCTTAATCCAAAATACCATCTCCATATATGGACAAAAGACTCAAAACTAGGGGTCCCCCACTATACACTACCAGCAAGACAAAGGCATAACAATAGGACAGATCAGTTGGTACATGTCCCAAATTGCTTCATGTGATGAATCAATTATATCAAACAAATCCGGACCCGCATTGATTTGAGTCAAGTCACATATCGTCTACTAAACGACATGCTTCCAATTAAAAAAGACCCTTCAAATCACAATATTCACAACTTTCTCACTCCAAACAAGACAAAATATTTATAACCCATGATTAAGTTAATCATTTAAGAACCATCCACGCTTCTACACTTTTCTTGTCTCATTCCCTCACCCATGTCATAATCATTACTATAATATTTGTACAACCACCGCCACAAGTTGAACTAATATTATCAATAGTCCTTCACTATACTCTCACTATATACTACATATACTTACCTTAGGAGCTATGTTATAGAAATAACATTGATTACAATTTACAACAAATGGAGGTGGTGCAACTAACAAGATTCAACTCAATGGAGAAAAGACCAAGAATGTTGAAGGATTTTCTAAGTGAGAATCCAAACTCATGTTCCTCAAGCGGATTCAAATCATTTCCAAGAATAACACCACAAAACGACGTCGTTAAACTCACACCAATCAACAACAACACCATTCAAATCCATCATCACTCACATTCATCATCATCCAAATTTCAAACACTCATCAAAACCATAAAAAACAACGTCTCATTCTTCAAAATTACCAAACCACCCTCCACCATGCTTTCTCTCCCACGAAGCCTCACGCGAAAACTATCCTCAAAGAGAAGAAGAAGAAGAAACCAGGGATGCAAAGGAGAAAGAGAAACCGAAATCGAGTTCAGTACAGTCAAAATCAAAGACATCATACGGTGGAAATCGTTCCGAGATTTACAACCTTCCGTTCCGTCACCGCCGGTTGATTTTCACCGTTATGTAACGGAATCGTCTACGGTTACAACTGCAACAACTTGTAGTAGTAGTGACGATGATTCTAGCTGGAGTGACGCTGATTTTTTTAATGCTTTATGGGAAGCGCAAAACGACGGCGTTCAAGACAGCCAAAGAAATTCGTTTTCATCTGTTTTTGTCGGCAAGGATTCGCTGGCAGAGTTCGTTGGGGCCAAGGTGAGTAATTATTGACTGTAACGTACCTTTCAAAACTTATTGTGTGCCTGCAGTTCAGGGGCCTAGTATAAGGTTTTAAAAATCAGTTGGGTCCTGACGCCGATTGCGGTCGTCTCAGTATGAATTAACTATAATTTATTGAAAAACAGCAAATAAACGTATCAGTATCAGCATCTGTCGATACCTTGTTATGTGGCCGTTTTCGCAATTTTTTTCTTCTAATACTAGTCCTTTTTATTTAACTAGTTATAAATTTAGGTATAGATTTATGTATTTTTCGGACGCTTGACACTTCAAAATGTGTTATGTTTATTGGAATTATTATTTTGCTGATAAGAATCCGAATGTAATCTTGACAGGAAGATTTGATATGCCAAGATGAACAACACAGTCCAGTTTCGGTTCTTCATGTTGCAGAACATGAATTTTCACTCTTTGACCAAAGTCTTGCCAATATTGAAAGTAAGTTTCTTCAAGAAGGTTTAACTTTTAATTTTCTTTTGAAACTTAGCAATTGTAATGTTTTATTAGAGGGATACTAATGATGTTTAATATTTGAAATAGGGAGAAAACAAAAATGCAGACACAGTGCTGATAAATTTGAGAGTCTTGTAAAATTTGACCTTGCAATTGCAAACTTGGATAGGTGTCTGTTATTAGATGAGAAATCATGCTATGATGAAGAATATGAAGATGATAATGAGGAGGATGAGGAGGAGAAGAAAACTGAAGAACAGGACTGGGTTGAGGAAAGGGCAAAACAATTGCTACATTGTGTTAAAGCAAAATGTTCTTCAATGCAAAATTGTGATGACAGTTTAAGTATAGTTCTGTTGGATTTTTTCAAGGAAGAACTAAATGGTAATAGAAACCAGAATTGTGATGAGGGGTTTGAGTTGGAGATATTGAAAATAGCTGAAGATTGGATAAATGGGCCATTTGAAAATTCTTATGATATTGTGCTTGTTAATAAAGATGCTTATATCAAGGAAATGGATAGGAGAAATAGGTGGTCTAGGTTTGGAGAGGAGCAAGAGGAATTGGTTTTAGAGATTGAGGAAGCTATATTGTATAGTTTGTTTGATGATATTTTGGAGATGGATAGTTAATGGTTGAGAGTATTAGGAACTTTATTTGGACCATGCTATACTCACCCTTGAGACCCTCACCAACTGCACATGTATTGCCTTTGTAGTAACTTAGGATACAACTCACAGTTTATGATGCTCTTGAATAAGGGTGATTAGAGATGCCGCACAAGGGTTGTAATGGGTACATATATGTAAATCAATTGATGGACTTCAAGGCATAACTCATGCCTTCTTTTTTTTAGGGCAAGTACTTTAGAAGTCTTTAATTGTTTCACATATATGTAAATAAGTTAATAAATATGTGCTTTATAATTTATATTTTTAAAGGTTAAATATGTTTTTAGTCATTCTAAATATTTCATATTTAATTTTTAGTCCATCTAAAAATTTCTTTTAAAGAATAGTCTTTTTAAAAATTTTAATATTAACTTTTGGTTCTTTCTGCAATTTAGCGATGAACTTTACAACTTAACGACTGAGTTAACGACAATTTTAGCAACAATTTTGACATGAGGGATTAAAAGTTAAAATTAAAATTTTCAGGAGGATTATATTTTGAAGGAAAATTTTAGAGAGGCTAAAAATTAAACATAGATATTTAGAAGGACTAAAAAACATATTTATTATTTTTTAATAATTAATTTTGGAAATGTTGTTATTGTATAGATTTGATTAGTATTACACACATGTGTATATATTATTCTATTCTGGAATTGAAGGAAAACGTTCTACTCTTCAACAGTATGAAGATCAAAGAAGTTAAATTCACAGTGAGTTATGGTGGTTCAAGATTTTTGATGTAGTGGAACGGGGGCTAACCTGCAAAGTTAGCACTCCAACATACAAGTCAATAAGATAATGAAAAATCAGATTTGAATGAGTTAATAGTAGTTGGAAAATGATGTGTCTCCCCTCCCCCCGACCCCTTTAGATATGATATATGATTGGCAACGAAATGTGTGTGGGATGTCGTTGGTCATTGGATTGATTTTGGGAGATCAACATGGTAATTTCGTGAGAAATATTCTATAATGTGTATGGAAAATGAGGTTGCGTACTTTTCTTATGGGAATCACTTATCTTGCTATATAGCTTTATTCGATGGGCCTTGGAGCCGACCCAGAATAATTTCCCTTAAGCCATTGTCTTTGTTTGATAGGATGGTGATTTATGACATACATTGCTTTCCGATCACGAAGCCCGTAGATGTGGATGCCTTAGACATGATGTTGATATTCAGGGAATAGATGCCCTCGTCTTCCATTTACAAGTTTAGACAATTTTAAACCACTTAATGTTTACACTACAGTAGGTCCTACTTCCCCGTGCCCCTGTATTTGTCAAGCTTGTCTTCCTTCTCCAAGGTATTTCTCTACTCCCCTTCACATACCATAATGGCCAACTTAGGGAATGCATGTGTAAACGTGGCACACAAATCCGACAGTGATGAGTCTTCGTCATCCGTTGGAGTTGAGAATCTTGATCTCATGGACATTTTATATGGGGTGGATCCACCTATCTAGGCTCAGAATGAGCCAAACAATAGTTATGGGCCAGGTTTTGTCTCTTTGGATGATTTTGATAATCATGTTGTAACGGGAACCACTACTCACATTGTCTCTTTTTCCCGTGCTTATTTAAACTTGAGTATTGTTCTATCTAGGGAGGCGGAGTGTGAGTCTGGTTTTTTCACTCAGTCTCTCGGGGCAGTAAATGAGAGAGATTCTCATAGTCATACTAGAGTTTATGCTTCTTTTCAGAATGATCTTGTTGATCTCGGCCAAAATGACCCTTTCCATGACAGAGAAACGAATATGGTCGAACATGAAGGTTTGCTGGAACTGACTAACGGATACTAGTATCACTAGGTAAATCTCGAATTTCTAGGAAAAATTTCCATCTATTATAGAATGAGTGTCGTTAATTGTGTCGATGTTGAGGTAGGTCGTCATCTAGCTGGTTTCTCTCCCTTATCCCTACCAACAAAAGGATGTGAAACTTGTGTGAAGGGTCATCGATCCCATTTTACAATTGTATCTTTCAGAAACTAGGAATAAGATTTCCTTTGACCATTTCCGAGAAAGAAATGCTTGATCATATACCCATTGGCCCCCTCTCAACTCCACATGGTGGCCTAGGCTTTCGTAAAAGTATTTCAACATTGATATAAGTATAAGGGGCAAAGGGGTTCCGCCTCAAAAAACATTTTGTTCCATCTTTTTTTTGTTTCGCGCTCTTCGACAAAAAAGGGGGTGTGACCTATGGCTTATCTCATTTCATCAGAGTAATGACAATAACATTTTCCTTGTTTACATTGAGAGCTATAAGGAGTTTAAAACATATATATTCTAGCAAACCCGATTTATTTGATGCCCCATTTAGAATTCTGCCACACCCAGATTCCATCTCGAGCCCAATTGCTTGCACAAACAGAGCTCGAAGGTGCTGTCAACTGCATCACTTTGAAGAGGTCACTGGTTACTACATTTTACCCTACACATTCCTTACTATCAATGATATAGCCATTAAAGGTGACATCATTTCATTCAATTCTCAAGCTTTTGATAGCCAAATTCACCTTGAGAAAAATTTCTCTCAATTCTCTCTATCTACCTAATTCACTCAATGCTTCATTTTCATAAAGTTAGTAAGCTTTTCATTCAAGCTTACTAACCTTTGAGCTAAACATTCATCCAAACATTTTTTATTCATAAATTATCTATATCCAAGCTTGGAAGATTGATTCTTGGAGCTGAATTGAAGCAATTTCTAGAAGTTGTTTTGATAATTTTCTAGATTTACCTTTGGTTAGTTGGATCTTCATCTTTCACAATGTGATCTCTTGTTGATCTTTGTGGTTTAATTATTTGGGCTACTTTTTTGATTCCATTGGTCCTAATTTCTCACAATTTTATGGAATTTTTGTGCTCAATTATATTCAAGATCATAAGGTGTTTAAAGAAAAGTTTGAGCAAGAATTTCGCCTTTTAAAATGCTGATTTTTTTGTTTTTCGCACTGAGCAACTGATTGCTCCCAGTGTGCAATCAACTTGCACAGTGTTATTTTACGCATAATTTTGAAAATTTTGCTATGCAAATCGATTTGCATAGACATGCAAATCGATTTGCACTGAGACAAATTGTGTTTTTTGCCTTGTTTTTGGGCTGTTTTGATTCCTTTAACTTTTTTTACTCATCTCTTTTGATTGTTACTTTGGATTGCAATTTTAAATGTCCAATTTCTCTTTAAATTCAATAGACTTTGGGTGTAGATGAAGTTGGATAAATGTTCATTAATTCAAATCTACCTAAGAGTGAATTATTTAATTCATTTTTGGTGCTTTGAATTAGTGATATGTTTAGTACTTTAATCAACTAAGATGAGTGATTGAATTTAAAGATGAAAGGATTTTGAGGTTGTGATCCAAATTAGCTTACCATTCCCCTCCCTCTTCATCTTATCCCTTTCTTACTTGTGCTACATGTTGTTGGAGAATAATCTACATATCATTTCTCTAAACATATGGTACATAGATTGCTATTGACTGACCTTAAAATAGGTGCGATTTCTATATAAGTCCACTTACGATTGCTTAACATAGCGCTAAATTTTGTCTCGATTTGAGAAATGATCATTCGTGGCCCAAACTTATGTTTGCAAGCTCAAGTATGTTTAATTTGAAACCTTTGATCCAATAATGTTGGATTTTATTGTTATGGGGCTTTAATCTTATCAATCCTCGAATGAACCTTCATAAATTTTGATCTAAGTGGATCATTTAAACATCGTTGATCATATGTTGTTGCCTCAAGAACTTGAAATGAATGATATACTTGACAAAAAGCAAATGAAACTTATTGTTGAAAAGCTTTGATTTTTCAATATTATAATTAGTTTTCAAATGCAAGTTTCAAGATGGTCATTCAACTAACCTATAACTTCTAATTCACTAACCATTGACTTTTACTTTGTGCTTTTACTTTATGCTTTGATTTTATGCCTTTAATTTTACACACCATTTATTTTAACATTTTACATTTCATGCAATTTTCATCTTTTCTCACTTGAGTATTTATCTTTATTTCATTTTTATTTTTCTCACTTGAGCTTTTCATTTTCTTTTTAAAGATGCTTGTGATACGGTGGGAGAACTGACTAGTATTTTGCGTTCGCATTCGCACTTGTGCGGTTGAGCAAGAGTCGCCACCGACTTTTTATTTTATCCTAAAGGAAAGGTTAAAAAAGCACAGCAAAAACCTTTTGAGATATTTCGTGGGTTCGGGGGGTAGATTATGAAAATGGAAGGTATTAGCACCCTTTTCATCCATGGTTATCCATGGGCTCTTAGTTACTTGGTTTTTTAGATCACTTGCCTTGTTTTTCGATTGCTTTGAAAATGGTGTGTGTGTGGGTGCTTTTTGAAAATATTTGGAAAAAGATGCCTTGTCTTAGGCAACTAATGTATTTGACTCGTGTTTGAGTGTTTTACAAAAGTGTGAATCTTTTCGAAAAGATGTTTTCAAATGTTTTTGAGAGTTTGTTTGAAAGTGTTGTGGATTGTGGTTTTTGAAAAGAAGGCAAGTGTTTTTGCAAGTTTGATCTCAAGTAACTAAGAGTTTTGTCTACCCTATTGTACTCAAAGGTTTTTGTCATGTTTTAACCCCTTTTAACAATTTTGTTCTACCATTGAAATTGGTAGACAGTCTTGCATTTAGGAAGTTTATTCGGGACGGGCGCGGGTCATCGTATGGACCATGAATGCAATGATGCCAAGTGTCTTTGGCAATTTGCTTTGAAGGGACTATGATCATTCCGTTTTAGGCAACATTCGAAAGCGTCATCGAGGGACTTATGATCATTTGATTTTGTTTTGCCAAAGATACTCGACGTGCAAGCATGGCCCATTTTGGAAGGCAACATGTGGGATTACCCTAGAGGGTGCAAGTGTGATTGTGTATTGATTACATGTATTTGTCTTATATTAGGTTATCTAGCGTTTGATTTTATGTACATGCAAACCCTAGGTCTAACCATGGTATAATTGGAAAACTGTAAATTGCGGAATGTAAAACCTACGCTATTACAAAATAGTGTCCGGGAGTGGGGGTATAAATGTACAAGAGGGGATGAGACTTATAGTATTCAATAAGTTACAACCAAATCGAATGTGCGATCAAACGTAAATATCAAATATACAAATATAAGATAAAAGTGTGTATATGGCAATGTATTGTGTAAGTGTAAGTGTACATGTATATGGGGTATATATGTATTGTGTGTAATTATTTACAAGTGCGATAATGTGAAGTTGAAGCATATTAGGGTTTTTGACCTAGATAGGTATTTTAATGAATCTTTGATTTGTATAGCTTTGATATGTATAAAAGAAAAAAAGTGTTTTAAATTAAATGCTCAAATTTTAATTAAATTGTAAAAATGATATTTTGAGAAAAAGGGTATATTTCCATGTGTTATGTACAAATGTAATTTAATTGAATGTTTGTGAATTTTAATATTATAGAAAAATGTATTTCTATTATTATGTACAAAAGTATATTAAAAGAATAAAAAGAAGTATTTTCAATTTTTAATTATATGATGTGGAAATGTATTTTTATGTGCAAAAATATTTTAAGAAAAAAAGAAAATATGTACAAGGTATATTTCAATTATATATCAAGAAATAAATTATGTATGCTAAAAAGAAAATATATTTTAATGTGTATTAAAAATGTTTTCAAGTTAATTGAATTAAACATGTATATAAAAAGTGTTTTAATTATTTTGTGTAAAATAATATATTTGTCTATTAAAATGATTTTGAAAAGAAGAAATGTTTATGTAATATAAAGAAAAAAAAGGTTAGTGTGTAGTAAAAATGTTTAGTTAGACAAGATTTAGAGTAATGGGCTTAGGCGCAGAGTGGGTAAGGCCCAGGTTGAAAACAAATTAGGGTTGGAGGTTTTTCGTTCAGTTGAGGAAAGAATTAGGTTTAGGCGAGGCAGCGGCAGCGTTCGTGCATTCGTCTTCTCCGATTACCAACTTCCTGAACGCTTCTCTTTCCGGCCACCAACGTCACTCCCGAAGCCTTTCTTCCCTCCATTGACATGAGCCCAGCGTCCTTGATTTAAGGTTTGATTTCAACGCTTTATGTTCTTTTGTGAATGATACGCACTTTTTTTGATTTGAGTCTTAACTATTACCTTTCATTATGAGATGAAGGAGAAGAGAAGAGGGAAAAGATTGGCTACCTTCATTTTTGGAGATGGAGGAGAGGCGGAGGAGTGACGCTTTAGGAGGCCGGGACGGCGTGAACGGTGATGCTTGCCCTTGGTGACCCTGGTATCTTCGTTCTTACCTCTTGCTGTGTGAGGGTTTTATGATGATTTGTATTTGCCTGAAAACCTTCTTTCTAATTCACTTCTTTATCTCTCTTTTTCTACTATATGTTGCCTTGAATTTTCGTTGAATGGTTGCTTTGCTTGTCTATGGTTTTGATGATGATTTATACTGAGAACCTCTTTCAAAAAGATTCACTTTTCCCTTCTTCTGTTTTTGTCCCTTTGAATTGCTGGTTGCCTTTAGAGATTTCGCCCAATGATGTTATACTGAGGGCCTGTGGGTTTGTCTTGATATTGCCTCTGAATGACTTGAGTTGTTATTCTGAAACCATTAGCCTTTTACCTGCGTTGGATTATGTTTGACAGTATGGTTGAGGGATTTGGATTTTGTTTATCAGGTTTGAAAGCTAGGCCATGTTTTGATGGTTAGGCTTTTGAGGTTAAGACAGGGTGTTGGTTTTATCAGTTTGGTAATTCAGTGTATGTGTTTGTTTGTTTTGTTTATGGGTTTGTGCTA